AGAGAGAGAGAGAGAGAGAGAGAGAGAGAGTCCTGAGGCTGAACTCAGGGTCTGAGTACTATCCGTGTGCTTTTGTGCTTAAGGCTAGTGCACTATCACTTGAGTCCCAGCTCCACTTCTGGCTTTTTGGTGATTAATTGGAGATAAGAATCTCATGGATTTTCCTGTCTGGGCTGGCTTTGAACTGTGATCCTCAGATCTTAGCCTCCTGAGTAGCTAGGATTATAGACATGAGCTACTAGTGCCTAGCTTAAGTTGATCATGTTTAAAGTAATGAGACACAAGATTAAAAACATGAGTGGGATAAAAAGTCATAAAGAATCACCAAGCCAATGTGAAACAAAAGAGAAATTTCTTTTTTTTATTTAAATTTTTTTATTAAAGTAGTTGTACAAAGAAGTTGCCATTCTACAAAACAGTATATGAGTACAAAGTGTCTGACAACATTGTCACTCATCTCTCTAAACACATCCCTTCTCTCACTTTTTTTTTAAATTGAGATTAGGTGATTACATAAATTTTACATATTTTAGAGTCACACATTTTAATTTTCACATGGCAAATTGTCATTATCATGGTCTGTACAGTTTGTGAATTGTATGAGCTTTGACATTACAAGTTATTTTTCCACATCAGGTGATTTTTACATTTCTTTCCTTTTGCTTAGTGTAGGCTGTTCCCACTTATTCTGTTCCTCCTCCTGGCTTCCCTCTGTTGTGTGCATATATCTATCATATATATGGTCCAGAGCATGGAATCATTTAGCAATGATATGACAAAATGGGTGGCTGTCTGTTTCTTGAGTCCTGTTTGCCATATCTTCTTGTATTTTGGCTTTAGTATCCACAAATCAGGGAGAGTGTGTGCCATTTGTCACTTTGTTCTTGGCTTACTTTGCTCAAAATAATATGCTCTAGTTCCATCCATTTCCCTGCAAATGCCATTATTTTGTCCTTTCTAATGGCTGCATAATATTCCATTGTATATAGGTACCACAAATTTTGGATCACTCATCAGTAGTGGGGCATCTGGGTTGTTTCCAAATCTTGGCTATTGTGAACAGTGCTACATAAACATGGAGGTGCATGTGTCTTGGTATACTGGTCCCTGTTACTCAGGGTATATGCCTAGGAGTGGTATGGCTGGGTCATAGGAGAGGTCTATATTTAGCTTTCTAAGGTGTCTCTAGACTGTTTTCCAAAGTGGTTGTATTAGTATACATTCCCACCAGCAATGCAGTAGGGTTCCTCTTTCTCCACATCCCCTCCAGCATTTGTCGTTGGCTGACTTTAGGATGTGAGCCATTCTGACTGGGGTAAGGTGGTATCTCAGTGTTGTTTTTATTTGCATTTCCTTTACAGCCAGGGATGATGAACATTTCTTCATGTGTTTCTTTGCCATTTTTATCTAAAAGAGAAATTTCTAAAGCTGAACACTACAAGGGCCTAAAGATTTAAAAGAGTTAAGCTGATAGCCATAGCCAAATGGGAAACTGAAGATAAACCTGAAATATAAAGATCAAGAGAGAGAGTTAGAAAGGTTGAAGAAGCAAACATGGCACAGCTTGCCTTGTGGGGAGTGTAGGAAGCGGAGCAAGGTATGAAGAGGGATAGAGGTACAGGTGCTGGATCCTCTCAGGAGGCCTGTGTGGGCTTTGTGGAAGCAGAGGCAATTCGAGTATCTGCTGTAGTAAAGGCAAAGGGCAGGAGAACCAGTCCTAAAGACTTGTGAGGATGAAGAACGAGCTGAGGGACAACAGAGAGAGCAATTGGCCCAGGCCAGGACACCAAACTGCAGCCTAACTACAGCCGTTGCTCTGTGTAGGTGGCTGTGGCCCTTACAGTGTGTCCCTTGGCAGCCTCCCGAAACTGCTTTTCCAGCTTTGGTCCTGCCCTTAAAGCTTGGTTTATTTGGCAAAGTCACTGTGTAAGGTGTAAATGGTTGGAAAGGACATTAGGTGTTCCCTGGTAGACTAGTAGGAGCCTTCAGAGGAGGGGGAGTTGCAGGGGTTTTTTTGGAGAGCAATACCTGTAGAGTCCACCCACTCTTGCTGTCCTGTCTGCCCTCAGCATGGAGCTACAGAAATGATGCCAGAGATAGGCTCCCCCAGCTTTCTTTCTCATTCACAGAAGAGGGTCTCAGGGTTTGCACGTGTGCTGTGGTCACTGTACAGGCCAGGCCTGGTAGTTTCAGGGTTTGCATGTGTGCTGTGTGGTCGCCATATGGGCCAGGCCTGGTGGCCTCAGGGTTCACGCGTGTGCTGTGTGGTTGCTGTATGGGCCGGGCCTGGTGGTCCCAGGGTCCATGCGTATGCTGTGTGCTCACTGTACAGGCCAGGCCTGGTAGTCTCAGAGTTCATGTGTGTGCTGTGTGATCACTGTACAGGCCAGGCCTGGTGGTCTCAGCGTTCGTATGTGTGCTGTGTGATTGCTGTATGTGCCAGGCCTGATGGTCTCAGGC